GGAACTGAGGTCAAGGGAGAATGGGTCATCTTGCCCTGATCACAGTCATTGGTAACTTCCAGGTCTTCCGTTGATCCTAAAGTATGTATGTCTTTATTCCCAAAGTGCTCAATGTTTATTACATCAGAGTAACAAGCTATCCCCAGGATATAGGATTTAAGGAAATGATTAGTGATGATAATAAAGCAGAAGTTACACACAAATGGAGGAATAACCCCAGTAATCATAATACGTTAGCTTATTACTATCAATAATAATAATTATTATTGGTATTATCATGAAGCACTTCTATGTCAGGCACTGCACTAAGTTCTTTCATGCATTTTTCTCATGTAATCCTCATCACACATTTTTTTACTTTTTATGGCGTAGGAGGCTTAGAGATGAGCTACCACTTATCCAGGATGCACAGCTCAGAAGTGTGCATCCAGATCCTAAACCCACACTGGCCTGATTCCTCAATCCGGGCTAGCTAGTTATGCGGCAATGATAAGACTTAGATGTATGTCTGATTCTAAATTTACAATTAGACACGTGTCTCTATCTCTTCTTCACACTGTGCTCCATTTCGATATGTGTCTTCGTCTGATGGACTTGCAAATTGCCCTAACCACATCTTAAGATGGATAACATTAATTTGGGTGGGAGCAGCCACTTTTCCAGGTGTCATGAGTGATGGCTATCAAAGAGCTGTTTTATCTTGGACAGAGCCACCTGGTGACAACATGCAATGGAGGAAGTGAACTTTTTGAGAAACTTTGATGTCCTATGCCAAAAGTGGATCTTTTTCATTTTTATCACTCTTTAAAGTGTTTTTTAATCTATTAACCATTCGTATTTTGTCCTCAGAATAAACATGTGTGTTAGAGAAGACATTTATTAGCATCCTCTTGTTAGAGAAGAAATTGTTGCCATAAATACGAAGTAATTTGCCTATCATCAGATAGCATGTTGATTACCACTCTGAAACTAGAACTGTTTTTTTTCTTTTCTTTTAGTGAGCTGTGTATCATTTTCCTTCTTAAAATCAGATGTATTGAGTTATCTTCATATACGATAAAATTAATCACTTTTAAATGTGCAGTTCAATGAGTTTTGTTAAATGTATACAGTTGTGTAACCATCTACAATCAAGAAACTACAATCAAGAAACAGAACAGTTCTTTCTTGCCCTCTCCAGCCAATCAATCTCCTCTTCCACCCCCCAGCACCTGGCAACCACTTATCTGCTTTCTGTCACTATAGTTATGGAATCAGACATTTTATATAGTCTTGTGCCTGCCTTTCTTTGATTAGCACAATGCTTTCAATATTTGTCCATGTTGTTACATGTATCAGTAGTTGGTTTCTTATTGCTGAATAGTATTCCATTACATGGCTGTATCAAAACCTGTTTGCCCATTCATCAGTTATTGGACATTTGGGTTGTTTCCAGTTTTGAGCTATTATACATAAAGCTATTAGGAACATTCCTAACACATCTTTGTAGGGGCATACATTTTTATTTTTCTTTGGTAAATACCTAGGAGTGGAATGGCTGGATCATATGGTAGATGTATACTGCCAGATAACTGTCAGACAGTTATCAAAATGACAGCACCATGTTCAATTCCCACCAGCACTGTGTGAGTAACAATTGTTCTATACCCTCATCATCGCTTGGTATTTTAGCCATTTTAGTGATATTTCATTGTGGTATCATTTTAGTGGTATCTCATTGTGGTTTAAATTTCTATTTCCCAATGACTCTTCAGTTTCTTTCTACAACAAAGTATGTTGAGGAATAGAAATTAGAAGGAGACTTAGGTTCCCCAGCATCAGGAACAATTACTTAAGCTCTCTGTGCCTAGGTTTCCTTGTATTTAAACTGTGCTTGATAATAATACAAACCTCATAGGATGGTTGTAAGGATTAAACGAGTTAAATATACGAAATGCTTAGAGCAGTGTCTGGGCCTTGATAAATGTTTAATGAATATTAGCTGGTTGTGTTGTTATTGTTGTTACTGTTCTCAGTATTTTTGCTCCAAAGGGAGTTGAATGCTTTTGCTCTGAAGTCACGACGACTATAATCTCTCTGGAGCTGTAAGATCTGGGACAACTGTTTTATAGCACCAGGGGAGAAACTGGAATAAAGAATGGTATAGAAGCATATCCACTTCTTCCCTCTCCACAGACTCCAGACACCAAACTCACTGGCAGGAAGCAAAGGGGTGGGTAAACTGATTTCCATTACAGAGAATGGGGAAACTCATCTAAGGAGCCACAGACAAGGGAAATAGTTGGGTTGGAGCTAAAGATCAAAGAGGCAGAAAAGCAAAAGGAAAGCACTTCAGGATAGATTCCCCAGGGACAGGAGGAAGGGTTAGGAAGTAGGGCAGGTTAGCAAGTGCAGACAGGTGTCTGAGGGGAAGGCTGGGGCAGGCTAAGGAGGCGTGGTGGACAGCTCTGGGAATGATGGTTTGGATGAAGTCAGGCAAGGCAGAGAGGATTGGGAAGCTGGCAAGAGCAAGATCTACGCTCAACTTAAGGAGAAGAGCCCGTTGGTCCTGGGGAATTAAACCAGGGTTGGGAAAGGGGAACCTGGTACTATCTGTAGGCTAAAATAGAATCTTTCCCAAAATATACCAGTTTTTCCAAATTGAGAATGTAAGCTTCATCCTACCTGCACAGAAGCTAGCAAATACTGCTACAAACAAAACAGCAAAACATTCATGGTGGATGAGGCAAGCCTCCATCAATAACAGAATGTGAGTCTAAGTCCTTTCCTGGTAATTTCCCATTCTACCCTTTTCATTGTTGTCACTAAGCTCCATAGTCTGGGTGACCTTGAGTCACATGCCCACCCACTCCAACCCTATCATGTCCCCCAGGCCATGCAAGCCTTGTAGTCATCATGTTTTGTTGTTGCTGTTTGTTTGTTTTTTGCTTTTGGTTTTTGTGGAGGGCAGTGTCACTGGCCCTCCTATGTGGGATCCGAACCGGGGCCCTCTGGCGTCCCAAGCCAGTTCTTAACCATCGCGCCACTCGGCCGGCCCTGCTGTTGGTTTTTGTATGTTATAACATTTTGACATCTTAAAAAAAGAAAACCTTTCTGGCTAGGGAGAGACTGCCTCTTCCCCAGAGCTAACCAATTCTTAGAGACAGAAAACAGCATGCTACCTGATATGCAAACTAACCAACCAGAGCCCTCCCTCCTCTATATGGCCTCTACACACCAGGAGACAGGGTCCTCTGCCTTGATCATCCCAGGGCAGGTACCAGGCAACTAGAGACCATTTCTAAAGCCCAAAGCCTGCCCAGATTATTCAAACTAGCCAGTCCTAAACTATTTATCCTGCCTTGCCTTTCCTACAAGCTCCCCCATCCCCCACACCATGCCCACACCCACCTCCGCTCCTGCCTCTGTTTCCTGACTGACACTTGGTGTTTCTCGTGTGTCCACGCGTGGTGAGCCAGGCCTCTTGTTTCTCAGGGAGCTGTTACCATCATTAAACTTTTTTTTCCCATGGTATCGACCTTTCTGTGTCATCACTCAATCTCCTTCATAAATTAAGACCCAGACACAAAACACACTTTTCCGCCTCCCCACTCTTTTGGAATCTGTTTCTGACTGCCTTTCCTACTCCGATCCCCCCGCCCCCATCACTTTATATTCAGCCCTGTTGTCTCTCTACCTGCACCTTTTCCTGGTACTTGGCCTTTGCTCCCTACTGTCTTCCTGTCTCCCCGCACTGCCCCTTTCTCATTCCACCCCATTCGTTCTCTGATGCCTACTCAGCCTGAGGAAAGGCACATGATACAGGTTTGCATCCGAGCTCCAGAACTGCAGTAGCATCGCCTGTAAAAAACACCTGCCACACTGTCACACCCACCTGTGCTCATCTCTTTAACTTGGTCAAGCTCACAGGTGTTCTTTGTTGAACACCAAGAAAATAACCAAATTTAATACATATATATGTACGAGAACCCTGCATACGTGAGAGAGTCAGAGACCCCATATGCAAGAGATGTTAAGAGATAGGAAGGGGTCATAGGTATAGAATACATCCTGAGCTAGGAAGGAGATAAGGTGCCTTGGGGGCTCCAAAGGATCATTGCAGGATGACAGGAAGAGCAGATGCTTAGTAAATAGAAGTTTGCTCTGCCATATAGATGGGTCAAAAGGACATTATTACTGATAATCTCTTATTATGGGCAAATCCCTTAATTCAAGTTCTTTCAGGTAGTCAAGGGAGAGACAGACGTTTCTCTTGAGCCTGAAGCTAACATTGCCTTAAGCTCAAAATGATCCACATACCACAGAAGCACATCCTGGGGTGGCTTATTCTAAATCCCAGCAGTAAACGTTGAAAGCTGGGTTTGCCCTCCTAACTGTCCAACTCTCAAATCCATGCGTTTTCCAGTTTGCCTTCCCATCTTCATTCGTTCCGAATCCTGATCACCTGACGGCCATTAAAGTATTCTAAAGTAAACTAGTCCATGTAAAGTGTCCTTTACAGATTATTCTCAGTTGTCTCTTTTCGTGGCTTACTTATGAAAACATGGCTTTGATGGTAGAATCATAATAGGAGTGGAGAATGAAGGATAGAGCTAAAGAAAAGGGAGGGCAGCTTGGTCCAAGAGGACCTGGATTATGAAAAGTGGCCATGACAACTCCCACACTTAAAATTCTTTAGTGGTTCCCCCACTGGCTTTTATTTGTTCAACAAATGTTTACTGTGCACCTACTAAGTCCCCAGATGCTGTTTATCACACTGTGGATACAGCAGCAAGTAAAACAGACCAAATACCTGTTCTTACGAGGCTTACATTATAGGGAGGTGATGGGGAGTAAAAATCATATTGTGATGTGTGTGCAAGAAAAAAATCAGTCAGGTCACGAGGTCTAAGAGTGGCTTTATTGTAAAGTAATCATTTGACCATCGCTACTGTATACCACTCTAAGCCATGGGTACATTATTTCTTTGATGACGCCCTGAAAGTTCTTCTCCAACACCTTCAAATTCTTGTTCGTATGCCAGAGCATTCATTTTCCAAAAAAAATAAAAAGAATAAGAAAAAGAGCAGTACACTGGTACTTGACTGGAATATTTCACATTCTGAGTTTAGAATGGCCTTTATACAAATATCTTTGGTTGCGCATACATGAATGGCATGAGTGTCATTTAAATCAACTTTCTTCTCACAGCTGACATTGCCATAACAGCTGCAATAAAATTTTTCGGAAAATTGCTTCAGGTCTTCAAGTGTGGGTTCCCCTCGTACTACGAATTTTCCATTGTCCTTCATTTCGATAGCAAAATTCACTGGGTTCAGGTGAAGATAGTTAAATGAATCCCAATCTCGCCTTACACAAAATCCTTGCCCGTGGCAAAACACTTGGCTACACATTTTGGCTGCAAGGGTGAGGTTTATGATGTAAGGATTCAATGTAGTCTTCATGTAATTGTGTAGATTCGTGCAGGAGTCCTGCGAAATAATAAGGTTGGCATATCAAGATCCGTATCCATGGACCAGCACACCATTCCATAGCATTTCCACGTATACAGATACAATAGATGTAAATAACCTCAAGACATTAAGTAAATAATCAATGCATTTTGAGTATTTATTACTTTGTTTTTAGCACTACTTTATCCTACATTTTTATAATTTAATTTTTAATAATGGCTGTGTGGAACAACAAGTTCACAAAGTTTCTGAATATTTAACAATCAGGTCTCATGAGCTGGGACCAATAGGAGCTGGCTTTGTCACACCATGGGATCTACTAAAATGGAATAGAAAGAAATGGTTTGCTTACATTTTATGACAATTGTTTTAAGTCAATTCCAATCATTGTAAGTAAACCTGCGATTACCAGTTTCTCAAGCTGTCAATGCATCGCACGAAACACAACACATAATCCATGACTCTACTGATTACAAATGACATAGGAAAAAGGGGCAGTAATGATACAACTGGCATTCAGAATGCTCATCCATTGGGGAAGGTAGCAGAAGTATATACAACACTCCACAGGGGACAGTTCCAAGGCAGTTTCATTAACTAGAAAATAGTCATATTGAAGTTGAAGGCTTGTCTCTGTATAAACAATACTGAGGAGAAGCTGAGAGTCACGGTAGAAGAATGTGAACCTAAGATTAAAGTGCAAGTAAAAAAAAAGGTGTGACAATTAAATAGTATGTCACATCATCCTACTAACTGGGGAATGCCTAATTTATTTCTCATCAAAGTAAGGGTGGAGGTCTCAGTTCTGAAAAAAAAAAGTCATGTGAAGAACTTTTAAATGGTTCCATCATAACCCATCAGAGAACCCTTGAGGAAGGAGTTTATAGATCTGGGAAAACAACTAATGAAGATTAGGAATGTACTTCGGTGGATTATAACTTTTAAATAATTTTCTAACATGTGAAAAGATTTTGCAAAAGGGACCTACTTACCTTTCTCTCAACTTATGTTTTATATTTTTTTCTCTTGGTTGGTGATCAAACCAGAGACCATAGAATTCTACCAGACAGGTAGAAGGGCTCCAATTACTGGGAAAGAATTTCATGGAGGTGACTGTTATTAAGAACTTTTATAAAGGAAGTAAAAATATGGCTAGTCTATCTGAAGGACAAGCGATCAAAAGGTCCCTTCTGATCTTGGAGTACAGGGTCTTCCCTCTGGGTCCTAGGATAAAACTCCCAGGCGATGAACTTCATTAGACATTCTCCATGGCACGTGCGTTACTAGTACTTCCACATCGATTAGAGAAGACAAAACTCAGTTCCAATTCAACAGTGTCTGTGTGAGAGCTTTACACTTGCTTTGAGTCAAGAGAATTGAAAAGGTGAGAGATAAAGACCTGGCGTGGAGAATTAAACAAGGATGAAAATAAAGGAAGAGAGGAAAGATTAGGCTGTGATAGTGAAAGGCTTTTTGAACTAAAGAAAATGAATTAGGAGAGAATGAATACAATTCATACCATACAGACCAAAATAAGATATTCTTTCCTCATAAAACAAGTTTTACTTAAAATTGTACTTAAAATAGACACTACTAAATATAACCTGTGGAAAATAAAGAAGGGTTCCTTTTCCTCTCCCTTAGGGAAGCTTTGAACAATTTGGTAATGTTTTCAAAAAGTAACTCCCAATTGCCCAAACCCCCAAATTTTATTTCTTCCCTGCCCGGCCCCCACCACAGTACTCCTAAAATCTTTCCCATCTCAGAGGCAACTCCTTCAAGCCAAAAGCCTTGAAGTCATTTTAACCACTTCTCTTATCCATCCTACTCACCCAGTCCCTCAGCCAATCTTCCCCACTACCTGATATATTATGTCTACATATGTTGCATTTCCACTTCTGAGAATGTAGGTCCATGGTGAAAGAACTTTGCTCTGTTCACTGCCATTTTTAGCAAGCCACATAGCCTACAGAATGGCAATTAATCTCACTGAATTTCTGTTTCCTCACTGGAAAACCAGTACAATATTTTCTGCCTGAAGACATAACCACACGAATGATAGCTTGATTCAGCCAGTATTTACTGAGCACCTATCACTGTGCCAAGCAGAGTACTATTTTTTCACTCAATACCACAACAATCCTCTAGAACGTTAGAAGTAGAAATGTTTTCATCTATGTCCTATCAATTCAACTTACCAAATTTTGACTTAAATTGAGACTTCCCCACATTATAATTCCAGAGGCACCTAGAGCAACAGTTTCACCAAGTGTATTCACAAGGTCATCCTGGCAAATGTGAAAGAAACAGTTAACAGATAGGAATAACATGAAAGTGTTATACGTAGGACAGTAACACAAAAGCTAAGAGTGCCGGCCCAACAATAATAATTTTAATACTCCCCCACTATTTATTTCTATCTTTCATGCCACCACTGCTCTGCTATAACAAAAACACAGGTATTTCTATTATTATTTTAATTACTTCTATTGACAAGAGAGCAGGCCCATGAAAGAAAAAAAAAGAGGACCTGAGATAATATGTTGTCTATACTACCTAATTTTCCATAGTTTTTAAGATATGTGATGATTACATTTAAACAAAATATATTCACATTTTACATTCATATAATAATGCAGAACCACCTTGTGCATATACCTAGAGGATATTAAAAGCTAAATTTCACTCCCCTCAAAAATGATGTCAAATTCCACCAAACACCATGTGTGGGCACTATTTCATAGCCCTCATACCTTGATTTACTTACCTGAGTAAGGAATTTCGAAGATTGATCAGTAAAGACTGGACGAGCGTATATAAAAATTGGAAGTGGGCTGTTAGGATTGGGTACTTTAGAAACGCGAACAGCTTCGTAAACACGACTCCGCACGAAGAGCGCCGCTCGCTCATTGGACTTCAGGTAGGTATTCAAATAAATGGATGGGAAAAGCGCAGTGCTTTCATTCCACAACCAGTTAAGCTCATCATTTCTTTTCTTTTCTACATCAAAGCAATGCCCGTCGTAACCGTCTTTCCTATAATGATGATTGTAACAATCAGGAAAAAGATAGTAGCCCCATAAGTGTTTTGGCCGAAGTGTTTTTCCCAATTTTAAAGTATCTTGCATGAACTGTTTTCCTGCCAATTCAAAGTTTTCTTTGGCTAGCTTGGTGGCGTCTGTGACAGAAAGTTGTGAGTTTTGTTGCTGAACCAACTCAATAGAACGATTCCTATAAATATCTTTAGGTTTCCAGTTTCTTGCCCAGATAGGCCTCCATTCTTCCCAGTCAATGATAGCCAAGCCCTTGCCGTCTTTTGGCATGTAAGTGGCAATGTCATCCTTAGCTTTGTCCAAATGCCCTTGTAAGGACCCCAACTGGGGGAGTCCTCCATTCTCATCTTTGCCATGTCTATCTATATGAGGATATAAGCCAAGTCTGTCGACATAAAATAAGGTAACGGGTTGTCCTATGGCATCTTTTTGGGGGTTTCCTACCATAGAGAAGAGACTCAGATCTAGCAGCACATTAAACTTCTTAGAACAAGGTTCAGTTGGGGCATTCCAAGCCCAGAGGAAAGGAACATTTGGGAGATAAGGGGGGGCTCTGAAATCCAGAGCCAGGCAACATGGAAGCAAAAGGAAGGTGAACACAACCTGGGACGCTCCACTCGACCCAACCCAGCTCCTAAAGAAGACGTGCTGGGACCGTGGCACTCCCATTGCAAGGAGTAATGGCTATGGAAATCACTGATTTCTTCCTACACACTTTGATTTAGCCAATATTTGATGCAAGATTTCAGCACAGAAGAGGGAATAGTTGAATGAAGCCACTTTGGTGGGTAAAGAAGTATAATGATATTAAGTTTAAATATTATTCTTCCTGCTTCATGCTTCAGGAAGCTTTTGCAAGTTGCTTCATCTATATCTGAAAAAGAAGGACATATAGAATGTATTGGTATACTACGTTTCTATATCAGAAATTGTAAGCTTTACCAAGCTATCAACTTTAAGTGCAGGGAGTTTCATTCAATTTTTGAAGGTGGAGGACTCCTGTCTTTGAATTAATAAAATGATTTCCTCTTATGTATAATACAAATCCTGTAATAGGTAACATTTGTCTCTTTTTCCCAAATTATTACTGAGCCTACAGAGAGGTGTATGCTGTTTTCTGTTCACCTTCCCAGTTGTACAGAATGCTGTACCAAACAATGCCTTACCAAAAGCCTGTTAAATAAAAATAACTTCCAAGTTGAACCTCTCATTCTTGTTATTTCTTGAAAAACCACTTTATAGTAGTCTGCCAAAAATTGAAAACAACTTCTCATAGAATTGTGAGATTTCACCTTTTTTTTTTTTAAGGGGGACAGATAGAGGAGAAGGCAAAATTCACTAGGAGGTGATAACTCAAAAGTTTGCTTGAAGCTACTGAATCAACCAAAATCTCCTATTTAATAACAAGTTCAAGTGCTATTTGGAACAGTGCTTCGTCGTGTCTCAAAGTAATAATGTACTCTCATGTTTAAAGTTAATAAAACATTTTATGACTTTGTATCTTCCACTAAAAGGATTGGTTCTGGCCTAGCATAATAAAAGCAATATATGGATTTTGGTCTTTTTATAATCTTTGAGTGAGATTGTGTTGTCATTCTGATTGTCACCTGTGAAATGTTATGGCACACTTTGTGGCACAATGAAATGGTATGAGCCGAGGATAAGAAATTCAGCTATGTATTATTTTAACATTTGGTATTTGCAAAAATCACCTACTAGAAGACATATTTAAATGTTCTGTGATTCTAAGAGGAAACTAGATCCTTTTGTCATAATTAGATTGGTACTATACCGCTATGTGAAGTTACCATTTGAGAATTGTACTATTTTTTCCAGGGTTGTGTGTCATTACCATAGCTAATTATATTCATTTCCATTGCTGAAAAAGGAATTAATACTCTAAAGAGAACACTATAGATAGAATAAAATCAAACCTTGAGAACTATTACCGTCTCATGCTTTGAAGATAATGGATTACCCCTGAATATTTAGAACATGTAAAAGAGCTAAGATTTTTCATAGTGTAAGTCCTTATAAATTTCCTTACTCAAGACCTAGAAAACCTTCATCTAAAGTAGTATTGGGGGGGAGGACTAATTTCTTTCAACTACCATCTACCAATATTAATGTCTGAATAGCAGGGCGTAGGAGAAGTAAATGGAATAAAGAAAGGATTACATGTCTCTATATCTCAGAGAAGGAGTAGGTTAAGCTTATTGAAATCATTAACATGCACGTTTAATTTCCATATGATCATTTTATATACGAAACACCTGGGGCAGGATGAACCTATTGGGAAGGTCTCCATTCACAGAAATCTTCAAAAAAGAATGAACACTTGTATTCTTGAAAACTGTGAATTTCAATTTCAAAATTTTAAAAGCAATAGGGCTGTTGATATTTTAAAAAGAGTCATTCCAATGGGTTGAACAGTGTCCTCCCCTGAATTCATTTCTACCCCAAACCTCAGAACATGACTGTACTTGGAAATAGGGTTCTTTGCAGATGTAAATAGTCAAGGATATTAAGATGAAATCATCCTGAATTTAGAGTTAGCCCTAAGTCCAATGACCAGTATCCATATAAGAGAAGGAGAGGACACACAGACACCAAGTTACAGGGAAGAAGAGCATGTGGCTGTAGAAGCAGAGATTGAAGTGAAGCAGCTACAAGCCAAGAATGCCAAGAATTGCCAGGCCACGTCCTGTCCTAAAAGAAGACCTGCTCATCCGCTCGAAGTATTTGGAATGATGCCAAACCTTCCAATTTTTAATGTCAGTTTTCTAAATGTGGAAATATCCACTTTAAATATGGAAACGATATCTCTGCATATGTCAATGTTGGCAGTGTTCAAACATTGGGAAGTGGGGAGAAGGGTATCAGCAAACAGAGCTGGGCACTGTCAATCAGGGGTCTCTGGCCCCAAAGAGCATTTTGTTAGGGTGGTGACATGATCAGATGTGTTTCGGGATGATCATCATAACCACTCTATACAAGATACAATTAGAATAGGACAAGATAGAAGTAGTGCAAATAAGTAGGAGAGTAGAAGAGTGACAAGGGTGGGAAGAGGGCAGGATTTGACAGCCATTGGTCACAAAATGCTGTCTGCAAAGCCACTTGTTAAACCCCAGGCTGAGCTCAGTGATGCCTGACTTGCAGTCAACCCAACATCCATCCACCATAAGCCTGGGCCCAATCCTAGTTCTGTGTACAGTGACTCAGCTGACTAGCACGAAGAGGCAAAAGGGCTTCCTCAGTACCAAACAAGTCAAAGTTTAAAAAGAGCAATGAACCCCTCTATCACCACTCATGCCCTGCACAAGTTCACAAAAATGTAATAGCTAGACCTTGGCCTATGGGTTTGCAATTGTTCTTCCATTAGCAATAACCAATGCTTCTCTTCCCTTGACCAGTCAGATGACTTTTGGTTTTTAGTTCTCTGAATTGTCAAAGTCATAGTTACTTCTTCTACACATGGGATTATACCAAAGGATACAAATGGTCACCGTAGTCTAACACAAGCAGAAAACACCTATCTGTTCATAAATTGCTTTTGTCCAAAGGTGATGGGGACCCAATCGCATCAACTATAACTAAGCACATTTCATCTTGCTGAAGATAAATGCCATTAAAGACAAAGATAGGAACTCAGCTTCAAAAGGCAATGCAACAGGTATTTTCTCTTATCTATTTAAGGTATCTGGATCCTGTAGAGATAACAGGCCTCTAAATGAGCAGATAGGATGCAGACTGAAGTTTTTTTTCTTAGGACAGAGAACTGGTTCAAAAATCCTGTCAGAGTTTTTATTTAAGATTTATCTTTCTAAAAAGCCCTGTTCTGCAGTCAACCTTGAGAATGCACATTTTCTGAAAGCAAAACTATGGCTGAACTTTCAAGCAACCAACTGTTTTCCCAGCATATTCATCTTTCTCTAGTTCTGAGGAATGTGTGGCAACTCAGTTGAGATCAGCTTTTTAGGCAGGATCTAAAGAAAAATAAAACCTCAGTCTTTTATTATCCGTGTGAAAGTTCCTATTTCTTTGAAGAAGGGCTTTGTGGTTACAGGTTGCTATGGACATAATAAATATTCCATTCCACTGATCCTGCCTTGCACCTCTGGCATAAATCTCTTTGTTCTAGACTTTTTTTATCTCTATTTTGAGCCCAGAGATATATCTCTCAATGACTGCTCCCACTAGGCAGCCTTGACAAACTGATCTGACTATTGAAATGATAATCTCTGATGGACACGAAGGATACTTTAAAGCTCTCATTATAAATGGGGTGACCGGCTAGCTCAGTTGGTTGGAGTGTGGTGCTGATAACACCAAGGCTGCTGGTTCAATCCCCGCATGGGCCACTGGGAGCTGCGCCCTCCTTAAAAGAGTCAACTATGCTATTGTAGCATGAAAGCCATGTGTAACCAATGACCATGGCTGTTCCCCAATAAAAAAATTTAAAACAAAAAATTGTACCTATTTCTTAGAACCACTCACAGTGTATGTTCAAATTTGAAATATGATTGTGTCCTTCACTAGACTGTAAGCTCACTATTGTGACCCCAATTCCCAGTGCTATGCCCCCAGTGCTGTGCCTGGTACATAGTAGGAGGTTTGTAAGTACTTAACTGAATGGGTGAATGAGTGAATCTATCTAGCCATCAATTAATCTTTTCATCAAATTTTTTTTCCTTTCCCCAGTTTCAATAAATTACTTTAAATCTCCTGCCATTCTCCCAAAGTTTATCTATTGTATAAAATCCAATTCATCACATCTTAAACATTAACAAGATAAAGAGTTGAAGAAGTGACAATTATCAACCTTAAGTAACAATAGCCACTTTTGACCTTACATTGTTCTATGGAAGGTAAGATATATTTTAGGTTACAATTAGCCGGGCCTTTAAAGGTCATTAATTCTAACTTAATCTTATTTTCTCAGAACTGCCCCCAATGGTCACCATTTCTTAAACCAAGGGTGTAATATAGTCCAAGATTAAAATACTTGTGCCACCAAGCAGAAATGTCTCCCTTTACAATGTCTTTTTTCTCTCCTCTTCTTACATTCATTTTTAACCTTTTTCTTTTTTACCTTAACTGAATATTCCATCTAGATGAGACAACCTGATCCAGAAAAGGATTGAGGCTTTACTTCTGTTTTTAGGTCTATTAAGCAACAGCTAAAGGATTTAAATTATTTAATCTTCAGGTATTGCTTAACTCTTTAAAAACTATATTGATAATGCCTAGATCAATCTAACTCCCAGGAATGCTGGGATGATGTGTGAAATGCTATCTATGAAGCTCTGTAAACCTGAAGTGCAGTGGTGTGTGCTCTGGACTACCTATATTATTAAATCTTGTTTATTAGGGTTCATTTGCATTTACCCCACATTATAAGAAAGATAGCTGTAGTAGGTGTGGAGAGAATTCTTTCTGACCTATAGAGGCCATAAAAGCCAATATATGTAATTAGATTAGTAAAAATAGGCTGTAATAGAGTGGAATAGAAGATGATAGGATGGGATGGGATGGGTTGGGATGGGATAGGATAGGATAGGATAGGATAGGATAGGATAGGATAGGATAGGAAAGGAAAATAAGATAGAATGGGAAGCACCAGAAATGCCCTCACATGTAGTAAGGGAAAGTATCATTTTAAGAAA